CCCCGCCCCCCTGCCCAATTCCTAAGAAAACATCTTTAAATGGTACCAGGATTGACTGAATTAAACCCTCATCACTCTTTGTGCAGATTGAGACTGGAATGAGGAACTCCAGGTGTATCAGTGAAGTCTCTAATACCTCTTCTGTTTCAGCATCTGGTGTTGCCTACTAACTGAAGAGTATTAGACCTGGTCAAAGGCCAGCACCTGGTTAATTGCCAGCACTCAGTGATCTGCAGAATTGAGAGTAGGCTACCAATCATGCCACCTCTAGCTCTGATCTACTCAGAGATGACTGAAAATGTCAAGTTAGCAATGAAAGCAAGCTACACAGCACTGTCTTGCTTCTTTGTTACTGCAGCTTGTTTCGTCCTGAGCAGAAACCAAAGCAACCTGTGTTAAAAAGTACTGAAAATATAATGATGACAAGTTTTCTCATTTCTAGCAATGCATAGTTGTTCATTTCCTTGCTGTAACGAAGGACGGCACCAGGCTGAGTCTTGTCAAATGATCTTTGAATTCTGACTTTATACTGTTCTGCTAGTTTATCTGTCTTGTCATCAAACCAGTAGGTGTTGACTTACTGCTTTTGGTTACCTAACCCACCCCTTTGTTTATGTGGTGCCTACTTCTTTCTCTGTGCTTCAGGTAACTTTCTCACAAGAGTCTGATATGAATTTGATGCTTCTTGTAAGGCACTAAAGATCTCAAAGAATATGGAGGAGCCTCAATAGATATTTTCATTTCAAAGAAAATAGACTGGTCTTCATCATAACCTAGATAAGAGGAGGCCCAGTATTTAATTTCTACCTTTGTATCTCTAAGCTCAGATCTAACATGTCTCTGTTGACTGTTGTCTTTCAGCATGTGTAGTCTGCCTGCCTCTCAAGAGATTAAACAGTGGGGTTGAATACCTGTAATGATTCTTGAGAGTCCTTGTGGTGATAAAGCTCCTAATAAATTCTTAGTAGTTGAAATTACACATTTAAATCATAGGTACGTGTATCTGGATGTCTGCCTAGTACAGGGAAAGTTTTGCTGGGAGATACCAAGGCCTATTTGAATTGTACTTCTTTCTTCTCTCAGTTGGGATACCTTGAGATATGGAAGAGCTGTCTTGCTGGGCAAAATTTGTTCTGAGCTGTAATTAATTTCTCATAGTCAAATGCTTATTTTCTGGAGGACAAGTTCCCAGTCCTTCAGGAATATATGAAAATGTATGTGAGCATTTCATTACTCCTGCAAGCACCCATGCTCCTGATACCCTTCACCTAAGGTTGCTAACAATTTTTAATGCTAGTTTAAGCCACCATAATTTGCTTTGCACTTGCGGAGTGCAAAGAACATGGTATTGGTGATTTGCTGTATTAAGTTGTTTCTGCTGGGCAGCTGGATCCTCAAAGCTGTCTGAATGTACTTGTAATAGCCAGTTTGCCTCACCAGTCCCTTTTACACACTGCCAGTTGGTTCCTACCCATGCTTCTTAAGATCAGTTTTTAGCCTGTGTGACAGAGGAAAAAGATGTTTTTGAGTTGTTAGGAGCAGTAATACATGGCACGCCATCTACAACTTGGCTGGCCTGTGCATGTACACAGGAAGAACCTTCTTGCATGGGCCCTGTGGAACAGGGTAATAGTGACTACCACTGAACAAGCTGACACACATTCTGCATGTTCCTGCTGATTCGGCTCGCTCTCTTCCCCGGTTGCTTGAAAACTAGGCCCAGTATCTTTGCTGCCAAACAATTTGTCTTTTTAAGGCTGGGAATGTGAAAGGTTTTCAATTCCATTTTCTACCTTTTTTTAAAAAAAAGCCCTCTTTATCTTATGCAGTTCTTTTAAATCAGCAGACCAGAGTGAGAAAATTTATTGCTTTGGTAGATAAGTTGCATTTTTGGTGTAGGTGCTCTATATTTGTGTCTGGGTTTGGGTTTTTTTGGCGTTGTAGGTTTGGGTGGTTTTTTTTTTGTGAGGCTGATCATCTGGCCTCTTAGCTCTATCCAGAGAGAGCAAATATATTCAAAGATGGAACGGTATGCTAACTCCAAGTGTAGGAAGTATGCTGCTTATTTGTATTTCATATTGTCATACACTAATACGAGTGCAAAAGGACTAGCACTTGCAGAAGAGAACTTGCACTCAAAGTATTTAACAAGATCCAATAACTGGTTGTAGATAAAGCTCACAAACAAGACCATGTTGATTAGCACGAGTAAAATGCATTTGCAGTGTCCTAGCAACCTGGCTTATGTTCTCCATAAACAAGATTTTTAAGGAGGAGAATGAAAAGAATATTTCATGTATTTATGAGATTCTTCACTGAAATCCAAGCAAACGCAAGAGGAGGAGTCAAGGTTTTTGTTTTGAAAATGGCAGATGGGTTAGGGAGAGCCCTAGCTGTTACAAGTGAGCCTGTTGATACTGACCAAGGTAAGGAGAACTGAAACAGATACTGGGGAGATATATGATTCTTAAAATTAATTTTTACAATTTTGGGTTGCAGGATGATTATTCCAACCAGTTATAACAAGGAAATGGGAGGGGAGCCAAGTATGTAACTGAGGAATCAAGGGCTTGCACTAAATCCAGCTCTTTCATTGTCCTTCTCTGTGGTCTTTTGTCATGATAATTTATCTTACTTAGCCTACATCTGATAAAAGAGCAAGTTCATGGATACAAAAGATCTGTGTAAGTACTAATTATTTTGTTAGAACTTAATACAAATCAAGGTAATTAGATTTAAATAACCTTGCCAGGAAGAGGCAATCTAACTGTGATATCTAACTCCATGTCCTACTGTTGAGCTCATCTAGACAGAATCTGATCTGCCTTGTGAACAACAAATTTGACTACTGCTTGTTGTGCTTATGGAGGGAAGCTAAAAAACCCCCAAACCCATGCTTTCTTGTTTCAAAGTTTTACTTTACCTTTATAACTTCACTGTATAGCTATATTATTGCATTTAAATATCAAATTAGATTTTATTGTTCTGCCAGATCTTTAGGCAGAGTGGGTACATGCTAGAAGAAGAAACTGAAGATGTATATTCTAGGAAGCTTTTTACTCTTGCAGTCAGTGAGAAACTTGTTAGTAATTTCTCTTAGCAGTTCTTCATCTGCTAGAAAGAAGGAGAAAAGCTTACTAGAAAAGCAGGCACAAAGGAAGCATTTTGTACCTTTATTTCTTGTGGTGGTTCTGTTCTATGCTGAAGTGTGACTCTAAAAATAGATACGTTTTTGCCCAAATGAAGAGAATAGTAACTCTAGGCCTCACACCTCCCCCTGCAATTAGGAAAATGGAGCATTCAGTAACATTAGAAAGTAATTTGGCCCAATAAGCAAGAACCAAGAGCTTAACCATAAGTCTAGTGTGTTCTCAATTTGAGTTGGCCCACAAAAATCTTTCATGAAGTAGTATTTTGTGAATTTTGAAGCCTTGTAGAAAGGGTGACTGATTTTTCTTAATTTTCAGGTAACAGTTTGTTTAACTTCAGTAAAAGTAAGTGCAGTATTTTAACATTTATATGTATATTTCTCATTATGCAAAAGGGTTCTAATAGCACTTTCGGCTTCTATTGCATGGGAAATATTATTTTGATTATTGGAGGGAAGCATGAAAGGAAGATTATTTTTTTTCTCAAAAAAAGCTGTATTAGCTTGAGACTGATATGTAAGTTTTTTCATGGACTGCTAAAAATGGTCCAGAAGATGATTTTTATATGTATTGTAATTTTTACGATGCTTTTGCCTTTTATAGGTTTCGCTGTGACCCATAATTGTTTGGTTGTGGGTTTGTGTTTGGGTTTTTTGCAGTTCACACACACATATGTAGAAAGGTGAAAAAAAACAACCCTCTTGTTTTCTAAGCACCTGTGTCTATAATGACATGAACAACAGAGTAGCTGCATAATGATGGTGTGTTAGTGGCTCGATGCCTTTTGCTGTGAAGTCATTAGATTAATGGTAACCAATATTTTTTTCTTTGTGGCCCCTTCACAGGCTTAGCTATGTTATTGAAGTTTAGTGGCCTGTTATATTCTGTTGCCTGGTATTACATTACTGATGCAACTTGTGTGGTGACTTTTTAAGATAAAGAGGATAATGATGGGCTCCTAAAGCAGAGTGGATATTTCTGGCCTCTGGTTTACACTCACTTTACAGTGGTGTAACAGTACAGCTTTCTGGGTAAAGAGGAATATGTGCCTTATACCAAAGCGTTCTTAAGTTCTGCCTCAAGGATTTTTTTAAAGGTCTTGGGTATAGACTCCTTTGCCATTGAAACATGGTAGAAACTTTGGCAGCTTAACTAAAAAAAAGCTTTATAATGATAGGGGTAGGTACCTATAACATGGTGGTAAATATGAAGTCTTGAATTGGGCGTGTTGTTATTGATCATCAATCTCTTGTTTTTAATTGTGTCTTTTAAAAAACCAATCTATGTACATTGAGCTTCCACTCCTAACACATTTACATGAAGGGTATATCCAGCCTGTGTGTGTATCTGGATTTAAAAAAAAAAAAAGTCCTCTTAAGCAGTTCAAGAAAAAGATGCTATTACTGGCTTGCTGAGAGAGGATTAATTAGGAAATGTCTTCCCTTATCTGGATTTCTAGAAGTTACAGTGGTTCACTTCCTCTTAGCAGAGAATTATTATGCAGAATGGCACTAGGCACTGTATTAAATAATTATGTCATTATCTGTTGGTTCTCTGGGGGTTGGTATTTTGGTTAAATTTGAAGTTATTTACTAGACAGCTCTTCACTTGTCCGATGAAGGGATCAGCTTGAAGTAACTTGTAATGGAGTGTGGTATGTTTGAATAACTAAAAGCCAGGGAGAACCTTGAAATTTGGGAGATCTCCAAGAGGAGGATCTTTTTTTGCGTAAATACTAGCTTTACTCTGCATACCTTTTATTCCCCCCCCCCTCCCTTCTCCAGTACTGATACTCGAAAAGGTGGAAAATGGAGATCTGAGCAACAAGATATTGAAGATCACGGATTTCGGCTTGGCCAGGGAATGGCATAAAACTACCAAAATGAGTGCAGCTGGGACATATGCCTGGATGGCTCCTGAGGTCATCCGCTCCTCCATGTTCTCCAAAGGCAGCGATGTGTGGAGGTATTGATTTGGCATTGAGTGATTGGTTACTCAAGAGTAACTAGACTTGCCAGAAAACCTCTTTTATGTTTAAGAATGAGAAATGGTGAACCGAATATTAGAATTCAGGTCTTAAGAAAACTTTATCCACCAGCTTTCCATCTGTCAGGCTCTCAGACTACTTTGTGTTAATTGTAAACATTCTTTACTGTAGAAAGTGGTGGACCAGCTCCTGCATGACTCTGAATTTCTATATATTTGTTCTATGTCAAATTACATTCAGATTATCCTAGGATTCATAATCCCAATTCTCTCTGCTTTATATAAAACACTTTTTTTGTGCTCATTTGGCTATTGGCTGACATAATCAAAGGCCATAAAACTATCTGTGAAGTACTTAAAATTACTACTTTTTAGTGTTTTACCAACAGTAAGATCATTTTACGTTTTGGTAGTAATCTGTCACTGTACCTAATTGAATTCCCCATGCAGTTTCAGCTTGAATACAATGTTTTTCACTTTCATAATAATCTTATGAATTCTTTCCACCCTTCTAGACTTTCACATAAAATAACAAATCTGTTCTCTAGGTCCAGTTGAGTATGTAATCCATAAATAATAATTTGCATGTATGTATTATCTTTTCCATTCGTGCAATGAGATTTTTGAGAATAGGACCTACTTTAGTGGGGAAGAGTGTAAGGGTCAGCCCATAGACTTCCAGAAATTGAGTTTGAATATGACCATAAAGTGAATTGGTAGCTACTGAATTCAGTAAATAGCTCTAGGACAATGACTCTTCTGGATGCTGTGTGACAGAATTAGTACTGAACATCTGAAACAGATGAAGTAGATGAAATTTTGTGTTTTGTGTGGGGAGAGAGTTATTGAAATGTCAGGGTGACTTCGTCTTCAGTGCAGGAAGATTCTGTCGCTGGCCGGTAACACTCCCACACAAGTGTGTGCATGCTGTGAAATCTGTCAGGATAAAGAAACATCCCAGCTGGCAGAATTGTCTGGCTGTTATGGCAGAGATTTGGTGTGGGGACTTTCATTTTCCTTATCCAGTTTTGCTGAATAGATAATTTATTGCTTTGTGATAAGTCTGTGAAATTGTATTTTGCACACTAATAGTGCGGATAAAATTCTGACTCTGTAATTGAACGTGGTAGCTTCTGTAGTTAATCTGAGATGAAATGAGCAAGAACCAGGCTTTTACTCTGAGTGAAGTCTGACAGAAATGAAAACCTCAAGGCTGTACACCTTTTTTATGTACATGATGACAGTGCTGGTTTGTACAAAGCTTGTCAAGCTCAAACTTTAATTTGCTCTTCCCTGAAACAGTGCCAGGAATGGCCTTTCAGGGTAACCTGGGAGAGAGGGAGAAGGGAAGGGGGTAAGAGTTTTCCTGTGATTGTAACTTTACACTGTGAACAGATCAATAGATGTTCTGTACCAGTATAACCTTATTTTAAAAAAGGTAAGAACAGATCAGTTGGTGGGTTTCATGAAGGTAGCTCAAATGCCTTTCTACCAGTGCAAAAATACCAGTTTGGTCATTGACTTAAGGACTGTAAATCACTTCAGGACTTAAGGAGTGTGATGAAATTATTTGTTAGTTTTTCAGAATACAGTATTTCTATTTTTAAGATTCCTTCATCACTTTCCTCTTTCTATAGTTACCAGTCTTTCCTTGAAAACAGGTTGAGTTCCTCTCAGTGCTCGTCGTTAAACAGAGGGTCATCACCATTAAGAGAGCTGTTATACTGTATCTGAATAAGCCTTCTCTCTCTGGTGGCCAAAACTTGAATCATAGTTAAAACAATTCAGAAAAAGCTGAGAGAACATGATGTTTGGGGCATGTATGCAGAGAACAGACATTGCTAGCGTGACCACTACTAGTGTGTCAATGATTGTAAGCACTGGATTTTACAAAAGCAGTCATGAATTTATAATAAATTCAGTCCCCACCCAAGGATGCAACTTGAAATTCTTAACAGGATGAACTTTCTTATCCTATTAGACTTGCCCCTCCTCTTGTCCACTTTAGCCTCTTGGTTAATCATTGGAGTTGAGGGAGTTTTTTGCCTGACAACCTTCCAGTTAGTCTGTGTGACATCAACAAAATTGGCTGTCTCCATCTCTAACATTCACAAACCCTTATATTTCAACACCTTTTCTTTAAAGCTTATACTGCTGGCTGAAGTGTTGCCCAGCCTTTTAACAGGCCTTTTCTTGTTCTGCTTGTGTTCTTGCTGCACAAACAGGTGAAGATGCTGCTGAAGAAGATGCTTGCAAGGATTGAAATTTCCTGAGTCAGCCTTATCTCATCATAAGTAACTGCTTCATGCAATTGCTTTCAAAACATTTATCAAGCTCCATTTAAAAAAAAAAAAAAGGATAAAAAAAAGGGATTTTTTTTTGTCCCACTATAAAGGAGGGTTGACATAGAACTTACAAGGCTGAGGAATGCTCCAACACACTGCTGTCTATCACCAGGGTCTGGGCCACTGTTAAAGCTTGTTGGTAACAACAGTACATCCTGCTAGTGAAAATTTGTTGCTATGAATTTTGCTGTGCTGCACCCACGACTTTTAGATACACAGCAGAAACGTTGTGCTTATATTGCACAGAGGACAAAGAAACTATGGTTTTATTTAAATATGTCCATTCCTGTAAATCTATTTATGTGTTTGAGAGGAGAGTTAGTATTTGCTTTGGATTTACAGGGGTGAAGTTGAAGAACAGATACTGCAGTTTATCCACTACTGTACAGTAAGCTAATGTCAGTAGGCATATAATTCAAATTTCTGTCATTTTAACTGCTTAAGTGTATTTCTTGTTTGCTGCACACTTCATTTTTTGATTTGTGCTGCTTGAAAGACAATCATGTTGTCAATATGATTGATATGCAGAATATAAAGCTAGTATACAACCGTCATCTGATTTCCCTGTGGTTCCTTAATTTAGATGCTTTTAAGATGTATCTACTCTGAGACAAGTGAAATAGATAGGAATTTAGTTTTCATTTAGAAATGGAATTACTAGGATTACCTAAAACCATCTGATTAGCAGATAAGGTTGTTTCAGGCATTCAGTGATGGGTGTAGGAACTTCAGTCATTAGAATATCTCATTTGAATCAAGTGGTGGCAAGCAATTCCATCCATAACTGACTACTTGTAGGCTCTGCAGCCTTCCATGTGTAATGAAGCACTAGCAAGACTTTGGTACCTGGCAAATAAGTGTTGACTAGCGGTACTAGGAGAAGCTCCCATGGGAGAAGTGTGTGCAACTGACTGTTGTGAAATAAGCAGGAAATGTCACCTCTGGAAATAACAGTTGGAGAACATACAAAATGCTAACTGTTCAGAGCCCTTAACACATAATGAAGTATTTTCCTTAACAAAAGTAATATTCTACTTTATGTTGTTGCTGGGATCACCTTGTTGGGCTGGTAGTTCCTTTCTCATGGAAAGTGTTGAACCTTGGGAGAAGGATAAGAGGAACTTATGGTACAAATGCCATTGAACAATAACAGTGAGAAGAAATACTGGGTTTTTTACTTAAGTTCACAGACTTACAAGGGAGGTGGCAAAATCACATGTGAAATCCTGCAGACCTCCAGCCTCCCTCTCCCTGAAAATCCGGTGTGTAGAGTTGAACCTGATGTTAAATGGCTTAAGGGATTACTGGATCACTGGGAGATGGTTAATTATTTATACAAGTGTCAGTTGACTTGGACACATGGTCTGTATCACATGGTTCGTTTTGTAATTAAAGTCCAAAAATTACTGCTAGGTGCTGGAAAAATAAATGAGCTCGACCAGTTTTTCTTCCTCCCTGTTGAGAATGAGGAGTGGCCCTTGATTCTTTCTTTCTATGCCTTTTTTTTGTATAAGTCTTGAGAGTTAATGAAAAACTCTGTTCAGCATCTCTTTTGCTGTTTAATCACTTGGGATGATTGTTGTTCAAATGCCACAAAGCAGTGTTGCTGGCGCTCTGTGGAAGCAGTATTCTCAGCAATGAACCATAAGTACCTGAGGAAGAGGTGGCATTTAGTTTTGTCAGAAACAAAGTGACCTTTCCTGTAATATATATTTCTAGTGTCATGCTAGAAGAAACACCAATCTGTCCATTCCTTTGTCTTTAAAAAATTGTCCTGCAGAAGAAATGCTTTGAGCACATCAATAGTGCTTTCCTAACCATTCCATTAAGAGAAATACATAATAGATGCCTTATCCAGCACTAATGGTAAAGTAATAACAGAACTCTGTGGTAGTTTTCCCTACCTTTTGATATCAACACTTGTGTCCAAACTGAAGAGTAACATGAATGATCAATCCAATTGAGAGGCGCCAAATATGTATTTTCAGTATCAATTTTCTTTGAGTGCTTTATGAATCCTAGGAGGCCAAAAAGAAAATGGGAAATCCTTAAACTCGTGTTTGGTTTTTTTATTCCAATGAGGCTCTTGAGACAGTAAAAATTGAGAACCTTGGTGGAAAAAATAATCAGTTAGAATTACCATTATAATATCAAACATGCATTATCTAAGAGAAATTCATAAGATTGTATAGATGAGAAAATACGATATTTTGCTTCATAAACTAGCTCTGTTGACAGGCAAAGGTGAGATCTCTAGTGACTGAAATTCTGTATCTCACTAGGGAAAAGTAGTATTAAGACTGTTCAACTAAGACATCAGCAGTTACAATGAATGTTAAAGATTTCGCAGGGTGAGGAGAGATTGCAAGACCACAGGTTGTGATAATGAAAATTCTGATTACTCCCAAATGAATAGGGCAATTCTTGCTTTGAAACAATAAGAGATTAATCTTTTAGCTTCAGAAATGACTGTTTCATGAAGCAGTTATTCAGGGAGCTTTTAGGAGGAGAAGCAGTTTTTCATCTGGTCTTCAGGTGTGCTTAGGAGGCCTTCAAAATTGCACAATATGACCATGGTCAAAATATATGTATACTTAGATTCAGTATCTTTGCAAGAGCAATTAAGAAAAATTAGTCCATTATAGTAGTGTTCAGTCTCAGGGAGATTAATGACAACCTTGAGGAATTTAGTGTAGAAACAGCAAAAAGGGAACACACAACATGGGTATTTTTTAAGGACACTATGTTAAAGCTCAGAGCAAATGCACAGGAAGGACTTTAGATGAAGGAAGAAGAGGATGTTGAAGAGACTGCTGGAAGACATCCTTAAAATAGTTGAACCTGTATCAAATGAGGAAAACTAGGCATGGACTTAAGCGCTACACAGTTGAACGCAAAACAGTCAAGAAAATGAAAAGGATTTTGAGGAGAGTCTTGCAAAAAGCATAAAACCAAACAAATTGCTTTCAGATGCAGCACAGGTGAGAAGCCTGCAGGAGAAGTTATGGCCCAGAGGTGACTAAGATGTAAGAATGCAAAGAAGATAAAGCTATAGCAGAAAAATCTTAGTGTCTTGTGTCTGCTAGAATGTGACAAAGAGAGGCTTTTTAAGATGACAATTTCTCTTTAAGGGAGTTGAGCTGGCAGACATCCTGTGCTGAAGTACTGTCCAGAGAGGTGTAACAAATTACTGGGATTTACAGTAACACCCAACATTGCTACAGGAACATGAGAGAGCCAGCTGAGTTAATAGCTGTGCTGTAATATGTTGCTTAAAGCTGCCTTAATACCAGAGAAATGAAAGGCAGCAAACATGGTGACAGGTCTTAAGAGCTTCCTAAGGATCAGCAAGTCTGATTTTCAGTTCTACTAAATGTAGAAACAGCACTAAAGAGGGGGGAGCTGGTAGACATATATCTGGGGAAGTGTCAGCTTTTGTAGAAGGAAATAATACCTTCTGAAAAATAAATAAAGATTATTGAAGGAATTACTGAATATGTGGACAAGGGGTAAGATTGCTTATACCATATTTGGATTTATAAAAACTTATGAAAACTTATGTCAAAAGCTTTTAAAGAAAATAAATTGATGTGGGAAATAGGGCAAGTGTTTTCCCATCACTTAGTCAATTCTTAATTACTAAAGGAATAAATCAGTTTTCTTGGTGGGGAATTCTATGTTCAATGTAATCATAAGTGATTTGAAAAAAAACCATAAATGGTTAGGTAACATTTGTTATGATACCAAGTTATTCAGGATAAGAAAATTAATCTGTTGCAGAAAAGCTTTACTATACTGAATCATAAAACAGGTGAAATGGTAATAAATACAACATAGTACCCATGGGAGAATTTAACATGTACGATGATGGGCTGTAAATTTTACTATTATGATTCAGTTAAAAGATACTGCAGTTACTGTGGGTAACTGAGTTCATTTTGTAAGAAGTCAGAAAGGCAAGTGACAAATTATGATTTAATAGGAAAGAAATAACAAAGAAAACAAGGAAAGCTGTGCTTTTCAGATCTTTAAAACTTTTGTGATTTTGGTTATTCCAACATGAAAGGTTTAAATGGAATGAGGTGGTACAGAAGCTGTCAAGGTCAGTGAAACATTTGGAATGGTTTCTGTTCAGGAGAATAACTAGATCAGGATTTAGCTAGATTAGGATTTTGGGGGCTGGAAAGAAGATGATTTAGGCAGGATGTAGTGGGAGCCTGTGAAATCATGGATGGCATAGAAGGAGCTAATAGGGAACATATGTTCATTCTTCCTTGTATTGAAAGAACTACAGGGAAGCAAATTAAATTACCAAGTGACAAGCTCAAAACAAACACATGGAAGTATTTTTTGACAAGGCATCATTAAATTTATAGAACTCACTACCACAGAACATAATGGGACAGTAAATGGGTTCAGAAGAGAATAAGACAAATCAGTGGAAGAAAAAATTGTCAGGTCACTAAGTATGAAGAAGCCGTCTCTGGCTCAGGTTTACTAGAAGCAGAGAGAATATTCTGAGGATATGTTGTTTCTCATATACCTGGTGGAGAACAGCCATGGAATTACTTCCATAACTTTAGTTAATATTTCATATAACACCTTAAGAACAACTTGGTTCTGAGGAAGTATATTTCACTTAATTTTAAAAATACCACAGCCCACCAAACAGCACTCCTTCACATTTTTGAGAGTTTCACTAGGTTCTGGTTTAAAATTTGCTATATTAGTTAAAAGATTTATGTTAATGTTTTTTGGACTGTTCCCAGTTTCCAGAGTGAAAATGATTTTTGCCTAAAAGGCAAAAATGGCATCTTATTTCCGTCTTATTAACAAAAGGAGTTAAAATAAGGCACTTTACCAGCTTGGCAGCCATGATGAACTTGTCCAGAAAACTGCAGTTTCTTCAGTGTACCAGAGTGACCCTGATAGGTTCAGGTACTTTTTTGTTGCTTAACAAAGAATGTGTTAAAATCAAACACCTATTTTCTTTTCTGTATTCTTCCTGGTAGTTATGGTGTGCTGCTTTGGGAACTGCTAACAGGAGAAGTACCATTCCGAGGAATTGATGGTCTTGCAGTAGCATATGGTGTTGCCATGAATAAACTTGCCCTTCCAATTCCTTCCACGTGTCCAGAGCCCTTTGCCAAACTCATGGAAGGTAAGCCAGCTGTGGTGCAAGTATGGTTTGTGCTGTTTCTCGAGTGCTGTTGAGCATTGCCTCCTTGTGTTGGTTTTAATACCTAGGAGCACAGATTTCTCAAATGGCTTTATGCAGTGGTGCAAGTTGTTACGGGAGCTAGGCTTGGCTGTCGGTGTGCCGTCATAGTTACTCTTACAAGAATAGTAAGTGAAAGAAATTTCCCTGCCATTTTTTATCTACTGGTTTTACAGGAAAGTGGGGCCTATTGTTGTCATCATTTAGCTTGTTTTCTAGTAGTGAAAACTCGCCAACACCAAAGACTTCACATTTTGGTGTAGTTTGAAGTCTTCGACTTGTTTTGAAATTCATAGCTTGAACGTCTTGCTAGGCAGCATCATATTGATTTGGAATGAGACTTTATCCTACTGACACTTGAGGGAGTGGCTTTAAATGTGGCTTTGACATTTGAAAACAATCCAAATTTTCAGTCAGAATGATGTGATTTTTCTGCTTTGTGTGTGTTCGTGCCCAAGGTGCGTTACATATAGATGAAAGAAATAAAGGACTTTGTCATCAGAGCTGCTGTAGTTATTAAAAGGGATTCTGTGCGGTAGCTTTTGGGGTGTACCTGTGTGACCTGCTCTGCTGACTATTGCAACTGCTTACATATCTTCTGAGCTTCAGTTGTTCTTTCCTCCCTCTCATAGTAGCACCTTTAGTGTTTTTTCCAGTTCCCCTCTTCCTAAGGATTTCCAAGTGTTTATATTTAATAAACATTTTTATTCCTATCTGTCAGAAAGAAAAACTGAGGTAAAGAGAAATCAAACATGTTTTTATACTCTTGGTGAGCAAATAATGTGTCTGAACATAGAACTGATACTCTTGGCTCTGGTGCTTTTAGCCCCAGGAAAGGAATTTGATTAATGCAAGCAAATTTCTGATGGATTCCTCTGCTTTTAGAACAGTTTTGCATTTCTCTGGTATTTTCTGTAGGTTACAAGCTTCAGTTAAGTTAAGGTAGAAAATTTCATGTACTGTTGTGCTAAAAATGAAGTATCCTACTGGATAGTAAGCAACAGAGTTGCAAGTATAGTATCTTGGAAGCAATGTAAAGCAAGAAACTGCATCTGAAACAGTTAATGGAACTACCAGTTCAGTGTTGTGTCAGGGCAGTTAATTTTAACGTGGTTCCCTAAAACAAGGACCTTGGATTTCTTAAATGTGAGGCATCTGCTACGGGGGTTAAAAATAAAGCCCTCTATAGGGAAAGTCAGGTAGAGGTACATGGCCTGCGCTTGAACTCAGGGGTGCGGGGGTGAGCACCCACATGGCTTTGTAACGCTTGGCTTTGCCATGTGCAGGGGGAAGAAAGAAAACAAGAAAACAATTACTTTCTGCCCCTCCACCAAAACTTTTTTTCAAACAGGCTCTTTCCCACCTCGGGTGAATTCTTGTTCCCTTAATGTTGCTGCTTTTACTTTTGAATTACTGCCCTGGTGGTCTTCACTGAGACAACAAAGCTGAACTTTCCCTCTTCACAGAAAAGACTTGTATGTTACAACTGTCCTCATTAGTGCAAATAATGGCAGATCTGGGCCTGGGAAAATAAAAGCCACGGGCCACCTGCATAGTTATCCTGTTCACTCATTCAAACATTTGGCAGGCTGCAGCGTTTTGCTTTACTTCGGGTCATGTTTGCTTTGCCATGCTTAAAACCTGGGGTAAAGAGGCAGGGATGATGGTCCTGACAGTCCAGTTGTATCACCCATTGCTACTAATTGGTCAGCAGCAGGGGACCTTCAGAGCCCTCTTTAACATCTTCAGCGCTCTATTTTGATAAGAGAAGTGATTTGAAATCCATAAACACAAATGTGTTCCAGCTTATCCCTCCTGGAACCTGATCAGATGTTTAAATACCAGCGTCTTGATACCAGCAGTTTTGAAACCAAAGCTCCCAAATGCAAAATCTCAGTAACACTGAAATCAAAGACAAGACCTGCAAAACCAAGCCTCAGCAGTTGCCCAGGTTTTTGTGAAGTGTTACTTTTAATTACAGCTGTTCCTTGGTGTATTTCAATCCACAAAACTAATGAATGAATTTAGGATTTAACCAACATTTTTAAAGAATGTTTTATTTTTTCCAACTGTAAGGTCTAGGAAACCAGAACTGTTGCCCCATACCGCAGTAACATGTCTTGAATCTAGTGACCGTTTAGAACAGTGATAGTGTGAGCATATTGAGAGAGACCTGTGTGTCAGTCTTTTCCACTCATGTCCAAAAGCTGTATTCTCTAGAAATATATTTGAAAGCTAAGTTTTTCTGCTTGGGTCTTCTCAAATTTTGGCATGCGGGAGTCTAGCAGTACCGAAGAGGATAAGGATACTTGTTGAACAGAACCTGTATAAACAAGCTGGTATGGGACAATATAGAATGAGAAAGTGATGGTTTTGACAGGAGTAGAAATAAGGGTGAAGTAAAAGGGAGGACTGAAACAGTAAGAATTTCCTATTCAGAAGTGTTGTTAAGTCAAACATTTTTATTTAATGGCTTTTTAAAAACATGTTCTTAATGATTTTGTAGCTTGAGATGTTACTGCATACCTTTTTCTATTTCCGTTTCTCTTTCCAATGTTCAATTCCCATCACTGTAAAAGCAGTACATGTCTGTACTCCTGCTAGTTTAATTGCCTCGTGGTAAGATGGGTACTTTAAATTCTGCATTTTTAGAGCTCTGTAATTGGATAAGTCATTGCATTAGATTGTAAATGAAAAAGCTTGTTTATCTGTGGTTTCTCATAAAGGCAAAAGAAACAAGCCCAATCAAATGATTTTCTCCCTAATAATAAAAAAGAACCCATAATAATAAGAAAACTCCAAAAGCACTATTTGATGTCATTTACTTGAATCTCCTATTTTCACTCAAGCTATGCTCAGTCTGCTTTGCATGAGAGATTTTCACTTCTGTGGTAGATTCATAATGACTCAGCTTAGTATTGGAGTTTGGCATTAGAACTCTGATAGATATCTTTCTGCAGTATGGCTGTTAACTCTGCAGTGTAAGTGTGAGAAAAGAAACTGTTTACAAGTGTCTTGCATAGTATCTCCACTCTGAGCACATACAACTTAAAATATTTACGGGAATTATTTACGATTTTTAATATATTCTTGAAAATGTAACTTTCTGTAAAATAAGTAAACCTCTGTTTTACATGGCATATTACTGCAACAGAACCTTAGAGACCAGGTAGTTCAAGATCTTAAGTGATGTTGGATATTGTATAAGCATGAAAACGTGAATTCCATACTTATGATCAGACAGTAGTGAAATGCAAGTGGGAAATGGGAAAGATGGGGTAATACAGATAGTGTGCATGCCACTCTTAGCCACTGGGGATCAGTAAAGTACTACTCATCCTCTCAAACCTCCATACTAAAAGATGCTTAACAGTTGCTTGTCTTTGTCCTGTTCTAGATTGTTGGAACCCTGACCCACACTCACGACCTTCCTTTACCAGTATCCTAGACCATCTCACTGCCATAGAAGAGTCTGGTTTCTTTGAAATGCCCAAAGATTCCTTCCACTCCCTGCAGGAAGACTGGAAACAAGAGATTCAAGAGATGTTTGATCAGCTCAGAGCCAAAGAAAAGGTAAATAAACACTCCATTCTTGTGCTCTCTGGATTATAATTTTCCCATTTCATTATTCAAACAGGGATCATCGTTTAGTGCATACCAGAGTTAATTTTGTATGTGCTTTACTGCAGCTTGTAATAAGTCCTTAACCAAAGGCAGGTTATGATGTACACAAGGGCAGAATCATGCGTAAAATAAATATTTGCATCCTAGGCTGCTACTCCTTCTAATACTGTAGTGACCTTGCATTATACTCTGTGCAAACTACTGTGATGAGTTATCTTCATTGTTTAATGCACCTGATAACTAACATCTTAATTGAGAAGCCCAATTATAACTGTTAACAGTAAAAGTAGGAGGGGTAGTTTCAGCACATATGCTCTAGCAAATGTTGCAGCTTTGGTTCTGTGAGGTTTGTGTTTTCCAGGTTGTGAGCACAGCCAAATTGGATAGAATATAATAAACATGAATGCTCTGAGGGAAATGGTCCAATAACTGTTACAAATGAAGTCCATCCAGGTAGAGAGCAGGAAACAAAAATGCTAGCAGGAATAAAAGGAATTGTGCCCATCAGCCTAAAGCAGTAGAAGTGAAAAAGCTGAAGTTTTCTTCAAGCATACTTGCAAAAAGCACAGCTTGCTGCATCCATGTTAAGGTCCTTGTAGAGACTGTCTTTACAGTTGGTATGAAATACTGCAGTGAAATCACTAAAGCAATAATATTTTTCTAATTTCATGGTCTCTTGCCTAAAAATAAATTTGTAATAAGCAGTCAATTTGGGCTCAGAAGTTGAGTTTAGAGAGAAAGGAAGGAAGACCCTGGGGTAGGGGAGAGAAGTCCTGCAACAATACTTAAAACATTTTTATTCATGTATTAGAGTAGCTTTAGGGAAAAATAAAATAGCTAATAGGCATTTCCCTGCTGCTGTCGTCCTCTGGCATAACTGTGTTGGAACAGTGTTTGAAAACCAGAAACTTCAACAGACAAACAGAAGACAAAGCAGTAGTAGCTAGACTGCCCCCAGGTTTTGAGTACTGCATTGCTCTGTAGCAATGTTGAAAGAGAATTTTATATCCTATTCACCTCATGATTGAAATTGTACCAAACCTCTGTGGTGATGGGACAGGTAACAATGATGTTAAAAAATATTTTAAAAACTAAACTAAAATCTATCTGATAATCTGAAGTTTAACTTGAATTCTTCAGTTTTTACCTTCTGCAGTGGAATTAGCCAGCTGGAGATAATTATTCTGAGTGCTGAATTATTTCGTCCTTGTGGTGAGAGGAGAGGAATGCAGTGAGAAGACATTTTCAGATCTCAAGGACAATTTCAGTTGATTCATTTTGTCAACAAGGGAAAGATTGAAAAGTTTGCCTTATACATCTTTATGCCTAAGGAGCAGCCATGCTTGGTGGAAAATGATGGGAATGACCTCCTGATGATGTTCTCTTCATTCATTTTTACGTTAGAGCTGGGTTTTTTGCTATTTTATGATGCATGAGATGGCAAGGTGATTTTTAAACAGTTTAAGTCACTAAGTTAACATAAGTACTTACTGAATAGAAAACCAAGGATTAATTCTTTCCAGTGTTAGGAATAAATCTTTCAAAATGGGTTCCCATATGCATGGTGCGCTCCAGTGGCTCTTGTAACATGTTCATGCCAAATATTCAGCATATTTTCTTATGACACTGAATTAGGATGCAGTGCTTTTTCACAGAATGGTTGAAGTTGGAGGGACCTCTGGAATCATCTGATCCAACAACCCCCCTGCTCAACCAGGGACCCCTAGAGGCAGTTGTCCAGGACTGTGTCCAGGCAGCTTTTGCAGATCTTCAGAGAGAGATTCCATAACCTTTGTGGGCAGCTTGTGTCAGTGCTCAGTAACACTCACAGTACAAAAAGTGCTCAGAGGGAATCTCTTGTGTTTCAGTGTGTGCCCACTGCCTCTTGTCCTGTCAGTGGGAGTCACTGAACAGAGACTACTCCAGCCTCTTTGTACCCTTCCTTCAGGTTTTTATATACACTGATAAAATCCCTCTTTCCCACAGCCCAAGCCTTCTTTGCTTGGAGTCCCATCTCTCTCAGCCCTACTTCACAGGAGAGGTGCTCCAGTCTCTTTAGTCATCTTCATGGCCCTTTGTTGGACTTTCTCCAGTATGTCCATGTCTGTCTTGTACTGGAGAGCCTGGAACTGGACACAGGATTCCAGGTGTGGCCTCACAAGTGCTGATGTCCAAATTTTAATGCTTATATGAAGGACCTTGAATGGCAAGCGTAGAAGTTCTTGAGGATTGTTCTAGGTTTTTGGCTCTCAGCTGGGCCTTTAAACAGTGGCACTAGCAGTGCTGTGAGCACAAGCCATTTCTGCTGTACCTTCAGAATAGGTCACGTTAGTCTTAACCCACAGGTCACAAGGTAGATTTTAATTTCTCCTTTCTTAACTCTGCAGGAGCTGCGCACATGGGAAGAAGAGCTGACTCGTGCTGCTGTTGAACAGAAGAATCATGAGGAGCTGCTACGAAGGCGGGAACAGGAGCTGGCAGAACGTGAGATTGATATCCTGGAAAGGGAGCTCAACATCATCATCCACCAGCTGTGTCAGGAGAAGCCTCGGGTGAAGAAACGCATGGGGAAGTTCAAAAGGAACAGGCTGAAGTTAAAAGATGGCAATCATATCAGCCTGCCTTCAGGTTGGTGACGTTAGGCTGTGTCAGGTGAAATGGGAGGAAGAGGTGAACCCATCACTGTGGTAGCTTCTTTCTACTGGTAGGGATTAGAAAGTATTGGGTGTACTTTTGGGAAAAACATGCATCTTTGGGATCAAGAAACTAAATTTGATGTTCTTGTGGCTAGCATTTCCCAAACTTCCAGATATGAAGGCCAAAAGTAAATCTGAGTTGGTACATCAATGACTTCATGGTAAAAATGTTGGTGTTGCAGTTTAACATGTTCATACTCAAAATGATCAGTTTAATAAAGGCTATACATTAAAAATGATGGCAGTGCTTGCTCTAGGAATATTTTACATAATGCTGCAGCAGAAACCATTATCTACTGGATTTCTTGGTGTGAGAATCTAAAAGTTGTCAGAAATATGTTGATAACCGTGAGACTACAGCCCTACATTTGCTAGTTCATATGTGAACTCATATTAACACACAAGTGACCTTAATACCACCCCTCTGGAAGAAATGTTAAATACTGGTGATGTGTCAGGAGAGTCACTGAGGAGTGAGGATAGTGATTTTCAGAACTATTGAATCCTTAACATTTCTGCTGTGGATTCTGTATGGAGATTCAAATTTGTAAAAGAATAAAAGTGTGGGGTTTGTATATATCACTTAAGGCTCATCATTGCCTCAAGGATGATGGTTTACACTATATTCTTTGTTTTCTGAGAGAGATTGGCTGTTCAGAAGAGCAGTGATGATAAAGTGCATGTTAACTATGCCTTTCTTTAGGTCTGTAAACACCTATTGCTGGTGGGTTTGTTTAGCTTAAGAAACTGAGAGTTAAGGTGTATGGAATTTATACAGGGATATCCTTTGGCATAAATGTCAGTCAGCACATGGGGATCTATATACGTATGTATCTCATGCATACACTAAGAAGATATGTTTGTATGAGGAAGCACATGTCTTTGAAGTAATTACTTGTACGTTGGGGGGATAGCAATTAGCTGTAAAACTTCCATATTTACACAGATCCTGTAAATTATGGTCTTTGAAACTTAACCATAAATTATTATTTCTTTTTTCTTATATTGAAAAAAGACTTTTAACTGTGTCTTTATGCTTTTGTTTTGATTTTTTTTTTTCTTCTGGTTAACAGATTTCCAGCATAAATTCACTGTGCAGGCTTCTCCAACAATGGATAAAAGAAAAAGCTTGATCAGTAGCTGCTCCAGCCCTCCTGCAAGTCCTACCATTATTCCCAGACTCAGGGCCATACAGTGTAAGGAGCTCAATGTAGTATTGAATTTGGGAAATGTGCAGTCTGTCAGCGCGGTAAGATGCCAAGATTCCATATCTAGGACAGGACTGTTAAAAAAAAAAAAAAAAAAAAAAAAAAAAAAAAAATGATTGCCTTGTGCCCTGCATGTACACATTTAGAGAGAAAAATGTAGAGTGTGGATGGTGGGGGGACAAAATCACCTTCTGTGGAGTCCAAACCTTACTTACCAAGTTACTTGAAACGTTGCTGCTTCATTGTATAGAAAATACATTCCTTAGGTGTACAGGTTAACTTCTAAAAATACTGATTTGTGGAATAGATCTGTGAAGTGTTACTGAAATGGATTAAATTACTGTTGGAAGGAAAGAAAAACGAGTGCACCAGTAATGAAAATAGCATTTCCATTATAAAACAGAATTAGTCAGGCAAGCATGTATTAGAAGTATGAAAGGGATGTTAATGTGTAGTGTTTTATTGGATATCATGATACTTGTGTGTCTGGTATCAAACTGGTGGTTCTAAAAGGGAAACCAGTGATAGAATAAAGCTGTAAAGCCTATCTGTACTGATTTTGAAGGAACCTGGTGGTTAGATCTGTCTAAACATTCAGAATTATGGGAAAGAAGTCTGAATGGATGTTTTCATTACTATTCCTGTTCTGGCCTATGTTTTATTCTTTCTGTTTCTGTGTAATCAGTTCTTTAATTTGTGTATCTGTTTGGTTTTTTTTCCCATTTTCCGTTTTTCTTCCCACTTGTGAAGTGACTCCTGCTGAAAGCAGCAAAACATGGGGACGGAGCTCAGTCCTTCCCAAGGAGGAAGGAGAGGAAGAAGAGAAGCGAGGCCAGAAGAAAAAGGGACGCACTTGGGGACCGAGCTCACTTTGTCACAAGGAGCTAGGTGCAGGAGAAGATGGGTAAGAGGGTGCCTGGAACTAGTCTGTTATCCAGGTTCTAAAGCTGGTTATGAGCTGGCTCACAGGAGATTTGCCTGTCCTTTTGCAAGCACTTTTCTGCTTCCAAACTTACTTGCTGTACCAGAGATGTTAGAGATTCAGAGCAGCTTACAAAACTGCAATGCATTCAGTCCCTTGCTAGAGGTCCAGCACTGACTGATGCTTTCACTGTCGGCTATTACCTTATGTGTATCTGTATGCAGTAGAACTTAGCTGTGCAGAACTGTTTCTCTAGTAGCTTTTCTATATTTTCAGGCTCAGCTTTCTGTAGTGTCATATCATAGCTAGAACTGCTTCTCAGCTGTGTGATTTCTTGTCTTAAATGGTTTTATTTAAAAAGCATCTACGAGGGCAAAGAAAATATCTTCTCCTTAGGCTTTTGAAAGGGACACATACCTTGAGTACATCCTGAAAGCAATTTTTGCAGATACAGGTTGTACCTCTATTTCTATAGATTCTTGTTCTGTGTCTTCTTTTTGTGTGTGTGTGTGAATTATTTATACCAAGACACTAATGGATCATTGCTAAAATGCTGCTTTAAACATAGGAGTATTTTGGTCTTCTGAGCGGTTTTGAATGCCTTGCAATTTTTAGTGGCGTTTGAAGCTTTTTCCCATGCTAAACTGACAGTTTGACTTGCCATATTTTTTTAGCTGGGAAAATAACTGGTTATATTTTATCTTTAATACTCTGTGCTCAGGTGTGAAATTCCTGGAAGATAGAAGTTGACATAATGCATCACTATTGTAGTCCTCTAGAAGAGGGCCTGGATCTGAGTGTTCTAATGATGTTATAATATGTTCTCCCTCGAAGGTACTCTTGACATGTTAACAGGGCAATGTAGAGGAAGCTTCTTCGACTTCTGCCTGTGCTTTATCTATTCTATAGATGATGTAGAACATTCTACAGAACTAAAACAGATGTCATACTTTACAATTGTTAATTATATTAAAGGTCAGGAGATAACTGAAGCTGGTAGAAAAACACTTCTACTTTGAAAGTGCTTAGAATTCTGGGAATAAAGCTCTTTGGTTTCCTGTTCATTGCTGTACAGTCTGAAGCACTGAATTGCTTTTGGGCACAGACATCCAGAAAGGAGTTGCTTGCTAACCATGATTGCTATCAAAACTATCCTGTTCTTTCTACAAATGAGATGTGCTACAGTATTCATCACCTTTTCCAGGGAGATGCAGTACGGCTATGGTATTTTGCAGAGTATCTGAAACATGATAGTTTTGCTGAGAGGGCTGTATGTAATACAGGGTTAATGTACAATGAACTGCTTCTTGTTGAGATCATGCCAGGATGCAGACTTGAATTTAAAGGGAGCAGAGTTGCACTAAATGTTAATGACTCAAAAGATAAGAGTGCTTGCTAGTTTTAGTATTGTTTTAATTCTAATTTTAGAGGGTAGGATGATAAAAATTGGGGTAAAGAGCTAAACTTGGGACAGAAAAGTCCAGTTCAAGTCTTCTCCTTGACACTGTTCTGGTAGCAGCAGTGCTGCTATTCCAGCTGCTTGCACAACTCTGTGATCAAGGGAACTTCAATCTTCATCTTTTTTAATCAGTTTCCATGTGTTCTCCACCGGAGGTAATTCCAAATCTTTGCAAGAATTACATTGTGAGAATAGCAGTGAAATTCTCTAGCATGAGTAAACTGACCTATAATTAACATCAAGTAAAGGCAGTCATGAAAAAATTATACAGCGATTATTCACCCGTCTGCATTTATCTCTGAGCATAAGGACTATGCCCAGCAGCAGAAGGTTGCTGTGCTGAATTGCAGAGACTGGATGAAGTTTTTTGTTGGACTAGTGGTGTGACAGTTCAGTTGTGATATTATGCTATATTCTCAAGGACATATGGCGAAGTCTTAATTGTCTTTAAACTTGTCATTGATTAGTCTCAGACTGTTACTATATATAGCATGGGCGATCTTTACCCTGTCTTAAGTTTTCCACTGGTGGTGTTACTGATTTTATAGAAGGTGATGCTGGATGTGGGGTAGTCACGGTTCTTTAGTAGTTATCTCTTAAAACCTTGCAAGCTAAATAGGGGTGAGCCTGGGAACAGATATTTCTTATTCATGACAGTATTGTATTAATGCCTCAACATGGTGTTACAGAATGGTATTGACACCAGAGATGCTGTCTTACAGTTCCAGGGAAGTTTTTTACAATTTGCTGAGCAAATAAGCCATGTCACCTTATCACTTCTACAGAGAGGTGCTTTTGACTTCCCAAAAGAAAAAGGCAACAGATAAGTAACTTAACCATAATACAACAGAGTAATAGCCTTCCTGTTATTTGATCTAAATAGATTACAATTAAGAAGTCTTCAGGTTCCTGAATTGTCATGCTGGTGACTGAAATAGATAGTTTTGCTGCTAGTGCTTTCAAACTATTCTAGTTCCTTGGAGCAGTAACAGATAATACTGCTGTAATAGGAACGTACTCTAAATCAGCATGTTTTGAATTATTTTCAAATGCATGCTACTGGCTAATGGAGAGGATGTGCAGCTGTCCTCTGTACAGGTCTTTGGGATCTGCTTGCAATTTGGGGGAGCAAAAATTAAAAGGGAAGGATGAAGATTTTATAACCTTGAGGCAAATGTAGCAGGCCTTGAAATTATTCTGGTAGCTATTTATCTTTGTGTTCAGATTGAGTTGTGCTTTGTCAGTAATGGCAAATCTTCAGTCTGTTTTTTGCAAGGGAAGCTTGCTCTAAGAAGTCATAAGGCAGCAAACTAAGGTGATGTGTCCTGCTGTACAATAACGGGCAGTTCCCAAGACCCTTTTGGTAACTGTAACTGTAAAGTGAAAGCTAAACTGAAGATCACTGCTGCCTATCACTTATAACTTTGCTGTCTCTGCATATAGAGAACAGAGTGTGTGTTCTCCCAGCTCCATGGAAATCACCCCTTCTTTGTCTACCCATATTGTAAGAGCTTTGATATTTACTTTTGAAGGCGATCACACTGCTAACACGGGTTGTTTTCACTCACCACCTTTCCTTTAATTTGCTGCTCTATTTATAGGATTTATCCTAAGTATGCATGTTGGACACACGGATAATTTAGATAAAATATACATTATTTGGTGGGTTGTGTTACATAGCTGATTATAGTATGGAGTAAATCAGAACAGACCCACACACTGAATTGCATCTCTGTCATAAAACCATGTGGTTGTCTGTTTTGACAAGTAGGATTCATCACTGTGCTGTCTGGATTCACATTCATAGCAGGGTACTGCATGTGCCTGGGTGGTTAATGGGGGGGGGGAAATGATGGACTTCTGAGAAAGTTGAGAACTGTACATTACACTCTTAGTGTAATGCCTATAGCACAGTCATCAACCAACTGAACATGTGCTGAATCAAGTTTAGACCTTGTGACCTTGCTATAGCAATATTGTTTGGTGGCAAGTAGGGCATCCCAGTTAGGTTGAGAAGAGAGGAAACATACATACCACAGTGAAAAAACCTGATACGATATTGAAATCCTGCAATGAAAGCCATCTTAGAAATGCAGAGTGATTCTGCTGGAAAATAAGAATTATGAGAGATAACTTCTATATACTCATATCCACCTTTCTCTGTAAGGGAAGGATTGTAATTAATTATGCATCTTATCAAAGAACAATGCAAGTTAGTAAGGTTACTGGAAGAGGTCTCCTAAGTTTTCTGTTCTTTCTGTAACAAGTCAATGCTTTTCTGTGTCCAGTTGAGATCATTCAGAGAATCCACAGATCTTTTGACTCCTTTCATTCAATCCCTGTCTATCCTAGGTGATTGTTAGCTTTTCACCAACACTAGGATGTGTTTCATGCTGGAATTTGGAGAAAGGCCCAGAAATCTTCCAGTTCAGACTTCACTGATAACGGAACAATAAAACATTATTACTGAGTATTGATACGTCAGAAAGTTGTGCTGCTTACTAAAGTTGTTTCTGATGTTATAAAAGCACCGCAGGGAATAAATAGGATGATGGTAGTGAACATCTATGAACAGGAGCTACTAATAAGCTCATGTGCCTTGGTGACACTTTTAAATGCAGGCGATGTCAAAGTAGAGATTTGGTTTGAGGTTTCTCACTTGTTTGGTTTTGTGGGGTTTGGGGGTTTTTGTCTGTCAGTAAAAGAAACAATGACATTTATGGTTTTAGTTACCTCTTTTTCATAATGCAAAACTTATGCTTTTAACTGCAGTATTTTCTTTAGAGGAGAAATACTGGGGTTTAGAATATAGAGGCATAACTTTGCTCTTAGAATGACTTTAGCATATTATTGTCCCAGTGAGTGATCTTTGACCTTCGCTGTTTGTTTGTATTTCACATGGAAATGTTTTTGGAGATATTTTTCCATTCCTCCTGCTGAGCACCCTATTTTTTTACCTGCCATGGTACATTTGCTTCAGTTTAAAAAGAAAATGTTTCATCTGATTTTTGTAGTGGTGTTTTCTATTATTCTAGAATCATAGCTGTTGGTTATCAGCCGAGGTCTTTTAACTACCATGGTGTAACAAATGAGGGAGTGAGTTTTTGACCTTTTTTGTATTTTAAGGTGCTGTGAGGATATTGCAAAATGTCTTGCTTTGGGAGGACTTCAAATCTGTGTAATTAAGATGCATACATGCGTACCCTCAGTAAAACGACAGAGAATATAGAAGGGGGGAATAAAAATTAGTTGTGAACATGGTACATTTTCTCCCATTTTTTCTACTATTTCAGTCTGAAAGCTCTGGTAGAAGGATACAAACAGTGGTCATCCAGTGCACCAAACCTTGGGAAGATCCAGAGAACTGCACCTGCTTTTCCGGGATTCACCAGCTTAGCAGAGATGGGTAAAGGAATTCCCTGGAAATTAATATTCTTAACTCCACTGCTACTCAAATTTGAATGAACCTCTTCTTACCTGACCTTCACCTGGTACCTTACAGCAATGTTTTCATTTTGGTGGTATCCATTTTTCTTTTATTATTTGTGGTGAAGGAACTACTTTCTCCTGGATTTTCTTTTTGTTCACCTCTATGCTTGTGCTTATCTGTCAAGCTAACAAGCTTCTCTTAATTCCCCTCTAGCTCCATGCTACCTGTCAGCTCCTTTCCTGTTAATGATGGTTACACCTTTACTTGCAAGGAGAGATCCATATAATATTCCTACCTTTTGCTTCTCACTCCCAAACATATAAATTTACTCTAGAAGTAACTGAATTGTAGACTGATTCTGAAATGCTGTTCTGCAATTGATCCCAAATAGACTGTGTCACTAATTTTTTCCACTTTGATAGTGTTTCCAGTCACTTGTCTCCAAAAGCAGATAGGCTGACACAATAGCTTGTGAGTATTTGGCAGTTGATGAATGATGCTTGCGATATGGACAGTTGCAGCATATGAGGAGAAGCTTATTTTTATGTGTGTTTGTAAGACAGTGAAATTTGCCAGTGAAAATGTTACATCCATGCAAAGTCTGTTTTAATTTGCTTTCCAGATGATGAAGACAGTGAATGTCTTAATGGAGAGGGCAAAGTGCACCCTTCACCTGGGCACAATCAGTCATACCTCTGCATCCCATTTCAGAAGAATGAGGACTGGGATGGCCCTTCTAGTGATGCCAATGACGAGTCCACCCCTGTGAACTCTGCTACCAGTACCCCGCAGCTGACACCCACCAACAGCCTCAAACGTAGTGGCTCCCACCACAAGCGATGTGAGGTTGCATTGCTTGGCTGTGGAGCAGTGCTGGCTGCTGCAGGCCTGGGTTTTGATCTGTTAGAAGCAGGGAAGTGTCAGCTGCTGATTGAGGAGGAGCCAGAGGCACCCAAGGAAGAGAAGAAGAAGCGTGACAGCATTTTCCAGCGAGCTGGACGCCCACGCAGGAGCACTAGTCCACCTTCCCGAAAGATCTTCAAGAAAGATGATCCCATGTTGTTGCTAGGCGAGCCATCCACATCCCTCACCCTTCTTTCCCTGTCTTCCATTTCCGAATGTAATTCCACCCGGTCCCTGCTGCGCTCAGACAGTGATGAGATTGTGGTGTATGAAATGCCTGTCAGCCCAGTGACAGTCAAGGCTCCCTTGCCAGCCATTACCAACCCACTAGTCAATGTCCAGATCGAGAGGTTCAAACAAGACCCCAACCAGTCCCTGACTCCCACACATGTGACGGTCTCTTCCCACACCCAGCAAAGCGGGCACAGGCGCACACCTTCTGATGGGGCCATCAAAGGGAGTGGACTAGTTGTGAATGGGTGCCCAACCAGTGGATGCCCTTCCAGTAGCTGTTTAACTGGAGCACTGGGAGCAGGTAGGTTTTCAGCCATCTTCCTTTTTCTCTTCAGAATAAAGACCCAAGCAATATAATTACCTGTTAGGAAAGTAAATATGTTGCTTATACAGCATCCATTGTGATGGCCAGCCCACAAGAAGATCTTATGGATGCTATCTTGACACAAATAATGAACAGAATAATGCAGTAATGGTTTCTGTTCCAGAATATCTGCGCTGGGGAACTCTCTCTGCTCCCCTGTGCTGTGAGGCAGACCATAGTATTGCTTCTTAGACAAAGATGGTACCAAAGTACAAGTATTTTGCATTTTTAGTGGTTCCTTGGGGCTTCCACTGCTTTTATACACTTGTTTATTGTTGTTAAATTTCAAAGTAAATTCTAATCTTAAGGAAGTGAAAACTGGATCTCTAAACAGTTTGAGGCTGTGCCACTGTTGCTGTTACTCCTTTGAAAGCAAGAGGGATCTTCTTGTATAGGTAGTGTTCTCGTTGTTGCAGTCTTTAGGAGTGGCTGTGACTTGATAACTTAAAAAATGCTTTACTGCTTTCTTGCCCTAGTAATTCAGAGGGGAAAAAAAAGGACTAGAATAATAAATTAAAATGTGATTCAATAAGACTTCCCAATGGTAAAACAAAATGTGAGGTTGTCTGTTGAATGGCAGTCTGCAGTAAAATGTGGGTTAATGCAGCTGAGAATACTCACTGAAATGGTATTCATGAAAATTTAAAAGTTATGTTGTGTTTATAAAAAAGGCAAAACAAAAAACCAAACACCACCCCCCACGCTTAAACAAAAACCAACCAGGAAACATCCACAGTAGGTAGTGTTAAATGGCTCTTCCAGGAAGTTGGTCCTGCTCGCTGCAAATGGGTGTCACGTATCCTGCTGTGCAAGTGTTTCTCTGATCCGTTCAAGCTGTTAATGGCTATTGTGCCCTCTGAAGGATTTGGAGAGTCCTCACCTCTGGTAGGAGGTCAAATCCGTGCTCTCCAGTCTGAAAATTGAAGCAAGCAAATGAGAGAATGAACAAAACTTGCTGCTTGTACTAGGTCAGTGAAGCAGGTGTCTTGCAATGTGTTGAGAACAGTGTGGGGATGAAGAAGCCAGTTACTCGCTTCAGATTGGTGTAATCTTGAAGATATGGAGTTTGTAGATTCTGAATGGAGGCTTTCTGCTTTGAAAATATTTTCACAGTGTACATACAATAAACTAAGATCTGTTGGAACCATTTAGCAGTGACATCTAACATGTTTCCCTCTTCTCTCACATTCTCTGTTTTGGATAGGTGTGTTAAAAACACCTAGTCCAAGTAGAGATCCCAATGAGGTCCCTCGCCTGCCAGACCCCAACCTTGTTTTTCCTCCAACCCCGAGACGATGGAATGCACAGCAGGACCCCACACTGGAAAGACCCAAGACATTGGAGTTCCTGCCCCGGCCACGTCCTGCAGCCAGTCGGCAGCGGCTTGATCCCTGGTGGTTTGTGTCACCCAGCAATGCCAAGGGTGAATCTTCTGCCAACAGTTCAAGTACTGATACTCCAAGCAATCTGGACTCTTGTTTTGCTAGTAGCAGCAGCACTGTAGAAGAGAGGCCTGGGCTGCCTGCACTGCTTCCTCTCCAGGTGGGTCTTCCTGTAGAGGAGCGGACACTGTTGGACATAGATGCTGAGGGGCAGAGTCAGGACAGCACCATTCCGCTATGCAGAAGTGAACTTAACACACACAAAGCTGCAGCTTATGAACTCAAGCAAGAATTCTGGTCTTAGTATGAAATCCACTGGGGATAGTGAGCCCCTCTAAATTCAATCCTACTTTTTGCACTGAGAATGCACTTTGAAGACAGATGAGATGGAGGGATGCTACAGAGGTGCTGCCTCTGCTGAAGATGTGTTGTTCGACTGCCTGATTTTTGTCTGCAGTTGGATGAAACTTGGCAACTCTGAGCTGCTGACTTTTGCTGTGGGGTTTTTCTGTAGTCTTCCCTGCCCTCTAATTGCGGTTTGAATCTGCAATGAGCTAAAATTATCATATCAAAGTCTTTGTTACTGACCTTGTAGGATTTGGCACTTGCAGTAAGTATATTGGTATCTATCCTGGTATTAATCAGTATTTTCAAAGCTCAAATGTTACACTACAGCAGACACCAGTGTTTGATGTTTTCCCAGGAAATCCAGGATAGAATAAAGTAAATATCTGGAGACTACCTTCTCTGAAATGTATTCAGATCATTAGATAGGTCTGGGAATTACGGTGCCCCCCCACTGAAGGAGCAGAAGTAGCTATCTTAGACTCGCTTGTCCTCCTTTGCTCATGTGATAGTGCAAGGTGGAACAGATTGCAGAGGAAGGGCATGGCATCTCCACTGATGGAGGTCTTTGAGAACAGACTGACTAGACTTTTGGGAACGAGTAGGTATAGTTGATCTTGGCTTCAAGGCAGGTTGGATGGACTTCAGTGATCTCTTGAGGTCCTTCTCAGCCCTATTTTTCTATGACCCTGTGCTTTCAAAAAGATGAAGGCTTGTGGTATGGCTGTTTAGCTTGCTTTTCTGTTTCAAACTTCGGTTCCATCAGCCTCTTTTTCCCACCCCCTGTATCCCAGGCTCATAGTCAAGCTGCCTCAGCTTTGGTAAGGGAATTAGCAGGAACTCTTTCTTCAAAGCTGTGTTCGCATGCAGAAGTTATGTGTTCCCTCTCTTTTTTTTCCTTCCGGTTTTTCCTCCTTTGTTGCACTTTTTAGGAGTGGCCCTTGAAACCCAAGACTGTTCTTATGCACACTGATAGTTGTTTAAGGCTCTTTTGAAACTGAGGCTTGTTAGTAGTTGGATTGTGCAAACAGGAATCAGAACATCTGGATTCTGTTTTATTTTGTCACAGACTCACTGTGTGACCTTGGGCAAATAATGTAACCTCTGTGCCTGAATTTCCCCATCTGTAAATAATAGGAATAATACCTACCTCACAGGGAGAGGGGTTGGGACACATGTAATAGATATAAAGTCCTTTGAGATCTTGGAGTGAAAGACACTATAGACATGTAAAACCTTACTATTGTTTAAATAAATAAAAACTCCTAACTCTGGAGCAAGAACAGACCCCTGTCTTGGAGGAAGTCACACAAATAGGGTGTGCCTGTGCTCACAGTTTTCTGTGCAGAGACTGTGTGTCTGTACCTCTGCAGGTATATCTTACCGGCTTTAATGAGAGCTTCTCTTCCCCAGTTTTGGCATTATAAATAAGGGATGTGGCCTTTATACAAGTGTGATAAGGTAGTCTGCTTTTTTGCAGGGTACAGCACATCTGTTCACTCTTTTTGTACAGATCTGTGCTTATTTTGCTAATCTACTGACCATTTGGTTACAAATAACTGATTTGACAGTGCTGCCAACACAGTGCTCAACCTGTTAGGGCAGTCCAGTCCTGTTGTGAAGGCAGTTTACCAGAATACTTTCTCACAGCTGTCAGCACACAGAACCTGTGTGTTTAGATGTTTATAACCTGATGTTAAAAGCCAGCGTGTGTGGGGAAGTACTGTACTTAAGGTTTTTTTAATTCTGTTTGAGGGCTGAAACCAGCATGTTGCCATTAGTCAGGTGCACCCTTTTTTCCAAGCAATTACAAGATGTTTTTGTGTAGGAAGGTCACACATTTCTGTTTATCACATTCCGTGAAACGTGTTTAATGGCAGAATTACTTTTTGCTGCCTTCCCCATTGAATGCTGTGGAGGTAGCCTTAATGGTGCTATACTAGCTGCTGAAGCTGGATAGGTTATTGACTGTGTAGGCAAGGTATTCTGATGGTGGGGCTAAGATACTTTAAAAAGAAAATGTTTCTGACACCTGTTAAATGTAGACCTTTAGCATTATTGACTTCTTAAGCATTCATCCTTTTGCTTTCCGTTTCTGAAAACTCAGTTTGTGATCCAGGGAATTAAATAACAAAGGCAAAACCTACTCAAACAGATGGTTGATTTTGATTGTGCTATCAGAACAATCTCAAGGAAAGCCCAGTCAGAGGCTGTCAGAGGGACTTCAAAGCAGGAGATTAAACCTATCCATTTTTTATAGTCTCCCTTACAATTTTAAAAAGTTTGAAACAAAACTGGATCTGTTGTTCTGAAATGTAATGTATTCTATCCAAAAAGTATCTTTACAAATGTCATAGGAAGCATCATCTGCTCTACAAAGTCATCACCTGGAATAGTTCAATTCAAATAGGAGTCTTTAAAATCCATTTACTTGTATGGAATGGGAGATTACTTTTCTAGGTCACATTGTTTTAACTCAGCCCACTAAGTTTTCTGATAGTTGGCCAGTTGCTTTCACCAAGTGAACTGTAAGGTTTCTGTCAAGTCCCCAACAGGCAAGACAGCTGTAAAGCCAAGTTGTTCAGTCACCTCTTTTGCTTAGGAAAGTTGAGGATGGAGTGTCAAAACCCCTTCCCCCTTTCTCTGTTTTAGGTAATCACTTGATGAAAGTGGTGCGTAGCTCTATTAGAAGTATTTTGCTCTGAAGAGCATCTTCTCTAACATCAAATGGACATTGCTACATCAAAGGAACTGGGTAGAACAGATGACAATGAGTCAAGGATCCAGATCAGGGTTTCCAACCTAGATATTCTCTATTACAAAGCTGCCGGAAAGACAGGTAGAAGCATAATGTTTGGTTTTTATTTCTTCTCTGAACACTCCTTGGATGCAGTTATCTTCACTGAATCTAGCACGTGAAATAAAATGGGGTAGTCTTTGAACATCGACCCATGACTGTCTTCCAGGTGGGAGCCTGTGGCTAATCTGAGATACTGGGCAAGAGGAGTCTGTTGTAGAAATAAAGCTGTTGGTTTTAGGAGGTGGTGGGATATTCTCTGATGGGCAGAGGGAGCTCTCAAGGCAGAGTTGTCAGGTGTTTCACCTTATGCATCCCAAAAGCTGTTGCAACTGGTGTCCTGAGGCCCAGAGGCTGTGTGCATATTTAAGCTAGCTGGTAATCAATCCCTGTATTCATCTATCTCATCCTGGCTTGATTTCTCACCATTCTTATTCTGTTGGGTTTTTTCCTTGCCAGCTGTGGAAGTTGAGGTGCTCCAAATCTCCAAAGGAGTGCTTCACTGTAGTCCTCTAGATACTGAAAAGATATGAGACTGTCAGCTCACAAATCTTTTTTTCTACTAGTTACTAGTATTCCCATTTGTAAGGGAGACAAAAGTTTCAGAATACTGTTGACTGACATACCTTTCTAGCAGTGTTCAAGGAAGATGATGAAAATCTTGCTATAAAAAATTGTAATAAATGTACTGTTTCCTAAATATCTGAATAAGTTGCACTTATCTTTTTCTCATTTTCTCAGAAAAAAAAAACCAACCATGAGAACACAAAATCACTGAGCAGTCAAAATTAATGATAAAAGAATGGGGTAAAATTTGTTAAAGTAATTGCAGGGCTCACAAAGAGGAAGTGACAAATTTTTAAACTAATAGTAATAGTAGTAATGTTGTTGCTGAGAGAAATTTTCCTAGTCAGGAAACTTTTTTTAAATAGTCAGCATGTATCACTAATTTATGTAATTGATGTGCTAATTTAAGAAATAGAAAAAAGTTTGCCAGCCCTTCAAAATGTGCTATCCTTGTAGCCTATTTGTTTTTCCTGTAAAATTGGAGGGAAAACACAAATATAGCAATTAGTGCAAAAAAAAATTTTTATTAATTTCTACTGGTCTCACAGAACTTGAGTGTGGGACAGGTAGAGAGAAGAAAGCTTTTGTGTCGAAACTAAAGTGATAATAGTTATGGATTTTTTTCTAATACTGTTGCTTCCTATGGACTGCACAATGCTCTGTTTTGCCAGCAAGCAGGTCTTTTATCTCCTTTCAATCCTTTTCAGAGCTGCAAATGTAACTTTTTATAGGTGTTATTTTTTCCTTCAAATTATTACTGCAATGGGTTGATATTCAGTATGGAGCAGGGACCCTCAATGAAACTAATTCTTTTCGTAATGGTTTTCTAACAAAATGTGTGTTTTCAAAGTGAAGTTTACATTATTGATGTGGAAACACCTGTTCTGGTTTGGCATGCTTTTATGATGAAGTATTTTTCTGTACCTCTAGGAATGGGAGTAGTTGCCTTGCTCTTCATAGCATGCTGTTATCTTAAGACTTTATGGATAACACTGCATAAAGGTGTTACTTTGATTTGTCATGAAACTGGATACCTCATTCTGTTGAAGGTGAGGCAGTAATGGTCAAGTAAAGAAAGGTCTTTGCCATCTGGAGTGTTCTGTTAAATAGAAAATGACAGGAAACCTCCCATCTTGAGTCACCTTTCTATCTAGAGATAACTTTTATTTGAAACTTAATTCATCTCTGTGGGATGAATATGGGAGCTGGAGTCCCATTAGATGTATGGAACCAAACCTAATACTGTATCCCAAAATTCGATGATAGACTGTTAACTTTTGTAAGTAATTTTAAACTAATATTAATGGTTTTGTTTCTTTTGGGCTTTTTGGAAACCTTTCTTCTTGGAAGACATGCTTATTGCTTTCTAACCTTTTCTATGCGTTTTGGAAGTATTTGCAAGAACTCTTGCCAGCTCTCTGGCAAATAAGGAGGCTTACGTCTTGCACAGTGATACAGGTCCTCCTTTTGACTTCACGTTTTTCAGTATGAAACAAAGATGATTATATTTTGAAATGAAGATTTCTGATCCTTATCCTGTTGCTGCAGAACAGCTGCTTAAATTCCATATTTATAACTCCCTTAAAGCTATAATTTAGGTGAAACTGGACATTAAGAGTGAGGGGATAGACGTGTGTTAAAACATATTTGCAAACAAGCAATAAATACAGCATGTATATGCGAAGAACCAAAACACACTCATGCTGTCACAGAGGATAACTTTCAGACTTCATAAACCTTTGCTTGATCATATAGCTAAGATATCTTAGGGCAAGAATGCCTTTCTATGTTTTTCTGTTAAGTTTTTTAGTGTAAGATTAGAATATGGTGGTTTGCACAACCAGTGGTATTGTATCTAGCTGAACAGAAGCGATTCTTAACCAAATTTTAATCTTTTCCTTCATTATTTCCAATCCCGTTTGTGGTTTACATTTTCCCTTTTTCTGTGGTTAACAAACAAAAGAGTCTTAAGAAGCACTTGTTTGTTGTTTCCTCAGCCCTACTTTCACTGTTTCGTGAGGCAGTATGGAAATGCCTTCATGGCTTATTCTGCTGCTTCCTCTGTTGAACACGCTGGTATAAAGTCACATGCTGCTGTTAAAATGTGTATTTGCTTCTGTTTTTTCTGATGCTCAGATTTTTGAGCAGTTTTGCTATTGGTGAAAGATTAATACAGCTTCTGAAATGACCTACATCAGCTTTATTTTTGTATGTTAAAAATAGTCTTTCCCACCGAATAGGTGTGTGTGCTTGATTAAAAGATAATTTGCCACTGGTGACAGAGTGGTGGGTCTGATGTAGCTACCAGAATTATTGTTTCTCCTCTCTAACAAGGATCTCCCTTTTTTTGCAACTGGAAAGTCTGCAGCACTTCATCAATGTTTGTACAAGAAACACATTTTATTTCCTTCTCTACATGTGTCAAAAATATTTTTTATTTTGTTACTAAATGGACCAGGAACACAATTTTGCTACTGAGAATGGCTTCTTGGACTGTTTGGTTTTGGGGTTTTTTTGTTGTGTTTTGTGGTTTGTTTGTTTTTTTAAACCTGTGAGAGATGTGTTAGGTGTATCCTGTATTCCTAGGTGCCTTCTATCTCACATGCCTCCTTGCTAGGGCCTGAGGTTGTTTTTTGGAGGGAACTCCTGGTTGTAGCTTTCAGTACTGTATTGTTCTTCATTGCACATCAGGTCAAATACCAGCACAGTAAATATTTCATGTCCTCCCATTTATTGATGTTCATACACCCCTGTGGAAAGAAGTGCACTATCCCTGGCTCTCCTTATCTCTCGATTAGCATACTGCCCCTATCTCATCTTTTTTAGTTATTAATTATTGTTGCCATAGTACTTGGGGGCCTAAGACAGAAACAAATACATGTTTTAGGTGTGGTTTGACCTAAAATGTTTTCCAAGTCAAAAGCATAAGACACAGCTGGGAGAAGTGAAAATGAAGATTTGCAGGAAATAGAAAATAAAAGAGTAAAATTATCCTTCTTAATAAGCAGTTAGAGTACAGAGGGATACTAGCTGCTTAGTAATTTCATGGCATTGTAGGCAAGTTGGGTCCTAAAGAAGCAGTTGAGGGGAATGTGTAGTTACTTAATCTCTGATTGGTTTCTTTTATTTTACCCTGAGATACCTCATTTGTAGAGATGTAAAGGGAAGAAAGCATAAGTTTTGGTAAGAACTGCTCTAGGTAGGCAGTTGAGGCTGGAACGATGGGAGGACAGAGGCAAACACTTGTATTTGGCTTTTTAACATGCTAATTCCTAATCAAAAAATAAAACCAGCAACTCAGTTTCCTAAATTAAGTTTATACTTGATTTTACTATGTATGTCTCAATTTAAACAATAAACGACGAGGTGGGGCATTTTTCTTGATGGTTTCTGAACTGTGGAAGAGCGGATTGTCCATAGACCAGAAGATGGTGATTTCATGTTGGCCACTATTGCTTTTAAAAGTGAAGGTCTGTTTTTTGAAAACAAGGTGGGTTGTTTCAAATAATCTCACGTGCTTTTAAAGTGGACCTACACACAATCTTGATTGTTTCCCTGTATTTGCAGTGTTCTTTTCCTGACATCAGATCCTAATACAGTCTTTATTGTATCTGAATGCTAATAATGTTCAGACAGCCCAATATAGCTAATATTAAGAAACCATGACACATTTTTAGTGGTTAGTATCATGGATTTATAAGCTCAGCTTGAAGTGTGCTACTGTTAGGTTTGTAGCTGATGGATCAGATGGATGTACAGCTAGCAAAATGGGGCTTAGAACAAATCTGCAGGAGGAATGCCAAAGTTTTATTTGCTTAAAATAAATTATTTGAAAAATAATCATGTTGTGGGGAAAAAAGGCCCTTCATTATTCAGAAGTACTTTACTAGGATCTTGTCCATGCTCAAATTTTAGCTTCTAGGATAGCTAGTGAGAACCTATATTGTGTTCAAAAGTTGTTGGCTGTAACCTCAGCATAAGACCAGAATATTGCAGTTTATATATGCTGTGTGAGTGATTGACACTGTCTCCCTCTTCTACCTTGATTGTTCCAGTTTAGCCTTTTTTCAAGAGCAGATGTTGAGGTTGAATAAAGCTAACCTTCCAGTCTTGGAGAGACATATGGGTCTGAGAAAAAAGAAACATTGTTCTAGCCATGTCCTGATGCTTTTGTGTCCCACTCTCTTAGCAGTAGAGGTTATAATTGAGCAGGAAGACATGCTGGTGTTTTTCCAAGCTTCATTAATAAGAATGCTGCTAACGGAAGATTTCAGTATGTACATGAACTCGTTCTTTAGGAACCCTTGTACTTGGTTTTCTTGTCACTGAGTTTCAGAACAAACCTGGCCTCTGATTACCGTTTGTCATAGCTCAGTTGCACACTGAGCTGCTTCAGTTTTAGCTACATCTAGAGGAGAACTGAGCTTCTTCCTCAGGTTCTTCTGGAATTTGTGGGTGTGGTCACTTCTCAACTTGGGTTATTTAGATGTGGCCACTTCTTAACTTGGGTAATGTGTTTTCTCCCAGGCCCAGTCTGTGTTACAAAATGACTTGTCACCCTACGCACCATCACCTTGTTGCCCAGATACTCATAGTAGGGTGGTCGTTCTGTCTTGCATGCTTTAGTGAGCGGCTCTTACAATGTCAACAGGATTAGCATGTGTATCTGGATAGGGCAGCTAATGCCTCTGAGCTGACTTTTCACACTGCATCTCAAGCAGATGTTACCACATCAGTTCTGCCATTGCTCTGTTGTTGAGGTTATCTTGACAAACATAACATCCAGTAGCCCTATACTGTAAAGAATAAAGCCCCAGGGGGAAAAAAAAAAAAAAAAAAAAAGAAAAAAAATACACAAGTGTTTGCCAGTTGAATGGTTGAGTTTGGCCAGTGCTCTTTGCAGAGTAAAATCCATTCTTGTGCAACATAGGTCTCTTTGGGACATGACTAAATTCAAAGTGGAGAATATACCTAGATCCACTTAAAATCAGTAGGCACCAGTGCCCATTATATTTGGCAATTACAGTAAGAAACCACATAGAGCCAAGAAGATCTAGTAGTAAAAGTTTGTATTTAGGGCAATTAAGTTAGAAGGGAAGAGGCCTCAGTTTAAGAAAGCTCTTCATCACATACTTAAGCATCATTGAAGTCAGTGGAATGTATCCCTGGGTCAAAATGCACAAGACCCCAATTCAGCAAAGCTCCTTTAATCTAAATGAGGGGATTGTCCTGTAGAAATTAACAGTGAAGGACCAGGCTCCATACTTGGATTGTCAGAGGAAAGAGTCAGTTTACCTGAGGAAAGAGTTCCTTCACAAGCCTCTGGGTAAATGCTCGTTTGATTGCTGACTCTTGTGGCCTTTCCATGACTGCACATGCCATGCCTATTTGACTGCTAAGTCTTGCCATAAACAGGGTAAGCTTTGGAATGTTTTCTGATACAGGAAGAAAGAGCAATGGCTTCTGCATTAGCAGGCTACTAGCTGTAAAGGGGCAGTAAGTGGTGCACGGAGGTTGTATGTGCAACTGTCAGTTTAACCTGAGACCTTCTCTCAGGTGTTTTTTTCTCATTTTAAAAATGCATCCCTCCAGGCTGGTGGACAGACCGGACAAGTTCAGCAGTGATCAACATCCACCACTGTTACTAGAGTTCTAGGGTTCTTGTTTGTCAGCTGTTGGCGCAGCACTTCGTGCTGGTATATGTGATTTCTTCGTCATAAATTCAGGATAAGCTGGAAATATCTGGTATATTTTGCCTGACTTAAGTTGAGAGGCTTATATGGAGTGGGCAGGGCAACAGTTGTGCAAAAATCAGGGAAAATACCTGTGCTTTTAACAATGTCTCTTCTGTGGCTTTGAAAGTCCAAGAATTTCTCAGCCAGAGAATGTATTTCCTCCCTCTTTTTATAAGCTACTCCTTTCTTTTGCCTTATTAATTGTGGATCTGCTCCTGCTTCTATTTAAATCCAGATGCAAAAATCAGTGACCTGACTTTCCTAGGTACAATGCTGTAAATCTGAAGAACCAGGTGAGTAGATTATTCTAGTGTAAGATCATGGCCCCATGTCTGTTCTTTTGAGATATGGGATAGTTCCTGCTTGTGTTGAAATCACTGTGTGGAGGGTATTGGGTACTTCATAAGGAACTCCAAACTCTGCAGAACTGGAATTCATCTTGCAACCTAAGTATTTCAGTCTGGTTTTGGAGACCTCCGTATGTCTTCTCTTCTGTTTATGGTGTTCAAAAGTACCTGAAGGTATATTTTGCCTGAAGAACCTGCAATGAAAGCAGTTACATTAGCAAGTGGTAATGTACCCCAGAGTTGAGTAAAATAACGGAGGCCACCAAGTTTTTCTTGTTCGTGTGATGAAATGTTGTCAAATTAAGTGATTTGTTGGAGCCTTCCTTTAACTTCTGTACAGCAGTAAGCTTAGAGGAAAAGAAGATTGCATTATTTTTTAAAAAGCTTTATTTGTGACCGGGACTTGTTGCCTCTGACCCTCTTGGGCTTAAATAGTTAAATTATATTAATGTCCAGTTTGTTTCACTGTAGGTAACACATCAACTGAATACTCTTGTGCATAATCTACTGTATCTTTCCTCTGTTCTGTGTCAATGTATTATGTGTATTTGGATTACAGTTCTTTTTTTGTATTTAAATTATTTTATGTTATAGAACAATATTTAAATGAAGCAAAGAGCTAATTGAAAGTTGTTGGCGTTTTGGGATTTCTTTTCTCTTTGCTCTTTTTTTGGATGTACTGTAAATTGTAAACCAAGGATGCCAAGCAGGCTTGGTTCAATGGCTAAAATTATTGTATTACAGTGTAATGCTGATCTAGGCCTTGTCTCAACACTAGAGCACACAGACTTGAATAAAACTGTTATAAAAGTGATCGTCTTTAGGCCTTGACTTCTTGGTTTTGTGCTTCAAATAGCAGTGGCATTACCTTGATATGAGAAGTTCAGAATTTTTCCTAGTGCCACAAGAAGTTTATTTTTCTTCGCAAGTTAACTTGGTCCTGATCAGCTCTTCTTCCAGCTCTGGGTCCTCCATAGGGTTTTTGAAATCTGTTTTTACAAAACCCTGGACAGTAGGCACAGTACCTGCCTGCTCACCCCTTTTTGGCTTTTTCTGCACAGGGTGATTAATTGCATACTATTTTTTATTAAGATTAGTATTGCTGTTCTGTTAAGATTTTTCTGCTCTTTATTTATTATCCCAGCCAGAATGTGAATCTGGATCTGAAGCTAATGCAGTAACACATTTTGTGCATGATGACATTTAACAGATGGTTTAGATTCACTTCTGATGCTGTGCCTTTGTCCCTGCCACATCATTCAGTGAGACACAGTTGCTTGAACAAGGCTCTTTCCAAGCTGTCCTTCATTTGCTGTTGGTGTGAAAGCCAGAACAATGTGGGTTTGATTCCTAGGTTGTGTGTTTGGTTTCCAAGTTGTGCCTTTGCTCTTCTCTGCCACCAAGCTATCATTTCACATTTCCATGCTTTAAGAAATGCGGCTGCACTGATGAAGGACTGTGCACTCCAAGACCTTAAGTTTCATCGTTTCCTTTTGAAGAGTTTTTTCACTAACATGGGTATGTGCAAGAAATCCTACACCCTCCAGGTATGGAGACTGAGCAGTGCATGGGTAGACTACCTTTAGTCATATATTCCATTCAAACTGCTGTAGTGATGTTTTTTGTGATAAACTGGGAGGAGAGGCAGTCAATTACATTTAGTTAGAAAAATAGCATGGAAAATTAATTGCCTTTTCACTTGTTTTAACAAAAGGTGTCTTGCAATGTTTTATCTTTGAAACTGTGTTTCCCCTTCTCCCCAAATCCTGACTCCTCAAATTAACCCAAATATTTCTGTCTTCTGTAATGTTTTTCAGAATAGGATTCTGTCCTAAAAGAATCAGATTTTCTAGCTGAATTTACTCACCTGTCACAACCACAAGGTTACCATAATGCTCAAGCTGGACTCCTCAGGAACAAAAATATAGGTGTATCATGGCAGATAAATTTCTGCCAGCAAATGCAGCTTCTACAGAAAATGGCAGGAACACATAGCACTGGGGCAGAACATAGAAATAAAACTAGCAGTGTTCTAAGCAGGGAAATCTAATCACTTCTAGCAGAGAGGGAGGATCCTAAATGAAAGCTGCCAGGGTTAGCATGGATGCAGAATGAACACACGAGCAGATGCTTTAAGCTGAGTAATTTCAGTTTTTCTTTTGTTGATGTGTAGGCAAGGGGTGCACATACAAATTCTACAGTGCAAATCTCATGTAGGCCTTCAGCTGTAAATACACTCAAGTGAGGAACTTGTAATGTTAACA